CATGTTGATCAACAGACCCAGAACAGCACGAGGAAGACTAGAACCAGCCAAAGCAGACCAGATAACACGACGATCGACTGTGTCATATGCTGACTTGATATCCAAGAAAGCGACAACAGGACGACGACGGTGCGCAACAAAGTAATCATGCATCAAGTCATGCAAGCAGAGGGCTTGATCCAGAGGACTACGTTGAGGGCGGAAACCACCTTGGGCAATGTCAAGGGCAGGAGAATGGGCATCCAGCTCAGGCATGAGAGAGAACTCAAACAGTTTGCGCACAACAGAAGTCAGAGAAATAGGCCTATAGTTGGCGGGATCAGAAGCATCACCTTTCTTGAAGATGGGGAAGACTTGGGCATGACGCCAGAGAGCAGGAGTATACGACCATTGGTAACACAGAGTGAACAACAGAGACAACACCGGAGCAATCTCAGAGACCAAGGACTTGAGCATCTCAGCTTTAATATGATCTGGACCAGGAGCTTTATGTGTTGGGAGCCGCTGAATGTGAGATACAAGAGTATCAACATCGAACAGTGACAAATCCACAGGCACACAAAAAGGCAGAACAGAGTCAAAAGTGGGGGGAGCAGCAGGACGAGTAGCAGTGGCAAGCAGAGAGCCATCATACACCGAAGCGAGATGAGAACCCATAGCAGTGACAGAAGCAGCAGGACCGTCGGGATGACTGTAGGTAGCAGAAGACTCTTTGTTACGCTTGATGCGCTTGATAGCAGCAGTAGCTTTTGAGAAATCCTTTTCTAGAATACCACAGAACTGTTTCCAGGACCTTCGCTTTGCAGCTTGCACCAGGGAGCGAAACTTGCGATGCGCAATTTTGTATAAGGACCATTTTTCAACTTTGACAATACCAAAGGCATGCCTCCATTGACTATAAGAGTGATCACGTACAGTAGCAGCATCCTGAATTTCTTGCGTCCAGTACTTCTTCCAATGGCCAGGACGACCAGATTTCACACCAATAGAACTATCCAGAGATTCATACAAACATTGATTCAAAGAATCGTTGAGTGCATCAATATCTGGACGAACACCAGGAGGAGCAGACACCAAACCAGAAAGAGTACCAACCAGAGGAGCAACAGAAGATCGAAAGGATTCACGGAGTAAGCCCAAAGGCTTCTCTTTCGTCAATTTCGAGAGCTTCCATTGACGCCGAGGAGCCAGAACAGAATCACCAGGAGCCACAGTGTCATCGAGAGGTGGCACATACCCGAAAGTAAGTGACATCAATCGATGGTCAGAACCAAGAGACAGATCAGACTCAACCACCAGTTGAGGATTCACCAAAGCAACATCACCAATATTTGTCAAAAACAAATCAATGATACTACTCAATTCTTGTTGCTGCCGAAAAGAAGAGTACGTCGTAACACCAAAAGCCAAAGACGCATTGAGTACAGACAAGCAGTGTTCATCAAACCAAGGTTTGAGAGCATTACCACGAGCATTAGAGATAGCATCACCAGTGAGAGAACCCAACCGAGCATTGAAATCGCCACATAGAATAGTATCCCTAGTCATAGGTAATGAACTAAGGGCCGAGAGCACCTTATCAGATGATAAGGGTGGAGGTAAGTATACACAATGGACCGTAAGGGAGCCAACCTTAAGGGACAAAGTATGCGGATTATAGGATGGGAGTTGATAGACAGAGTAAGGACAGGAAGGAGAGACAAAAGCAGTAATACCACCAGAACCACGGTTGAAGGCACCAGGTACTTTCGAACCGTAAAGATGGTATTGGGACCAATCTGTAGGAAAAGAGCCAGAAGTTAGCCAGGTTTCAGTAACCAGCAAGACATGAGTATCCAGGACATGAGAGAGAACATCGTGAATCACTGATTGACGAAGACCATTGGCATTCCAAAGAGAGAGAGAGACAAATAAGGAGTGGACAGGGTTATCATTTTGGGTATACAGTATCGAGGACTCAGTGGTGGAACACATTATTGTTCCATAGCAGAATCTTCATTGGCAGAGTCAGCATTAATCTTGCGACGGAACAAGAAGTTAGCCCTCTTGGGTTCCTTCTTTGCAAAGCGTTGAATGGCATCACCAACAGAAACAGAAAGGTCTTCGTCACAAATCCAGCCTTGCTCAACAAAGTACTTACCAACACCACTGACATTCAGAGGACGTAGGAAAGCTAAGGTTTGCAGACACCGAGCAGCAGTAAATTCCATGATCAAAGCAGTACGTTGATCCAGAGTCAAAGAGTCATACTTAGGATCAGCTATGTTAGCAGGGTCCAAAGGGTCAAAGTCGAAGAAGAATTCAGCCTCACAAGCCTCCAAAAGTGCAGTAAAATCCTGAACATATTGCACATGCACCAGGATGCCAATAACATCGGATGCTGGGAAACAGATGTCAAGCACACGACCCAAATCAACGCCGGCTTTGCGCAAGAGAGAGCGAACTTCAGAGCGTGCAATCTTCTTAGATCTACCAATATAAACATATTGGTAACCTTGAGGACCTTTACGAGCAGCAGTTGTAAAGGCGCGACCAATAGCAAGACGCTTCTTAGCTTGCTTAGCTTCAGTAGCAGGATCAGGAAGAGTAGCAGCAGCCTTTGCGACATTTGCATAGCTAGGTGATTTAGTAGCCTTAGTATTCATAGAGCCAGTAGTAGTTTTGAGGGTTGACCCCTCTACCGCCGTGGGCCGACTCGAACCAGAGGGGACCACGTGACCGGAGACTGCACCCTGCAATTTTTGAATTGCAAGGTCCTTGTCCTGTAAAAGTTTTTTCAACTCTGAATTCTCTTTTTCCAGAGTATCTAAACGAGCAAGAAGACCATCATGTTCGTTGACGCGAGCAGTAACCGAGGTAAGTTGTTCTTGGAGCTGATTAAGAATCATTTGAAGCTGATTCATATCCATACCCTGTAGATTGGTGGCCATGACGGAGAATATTTTTTTATAAATTTGAAAATTTTTTAAAAAAATATCAAGGAGGTGTTCGACAAATTTGAAACTATAACACAATAAACTGTTACCAAAGGCAAGCAAAGTTGTGTAATTTCGAGTTGTTGGAGTTGGTAGTTATCGAGGAAATACGTTTTTTCTAGTCTGGAACAACTTTTTTCCGAAAACGGTGGCAAAAAGTGTTGAAAAACGGAAAGAGATGCCTGGGGATGTAGCTCAGTTTAACGTTGATTTTTATTATATACATGAATTCAATGGGCACTCGATGGGAGCATTAGCCTAGAATTCTAGAAACAAAAGAGTAGCAGGTACAAAAAACCCTTATGAGGACACTAACGAAGAAAAAGGGAAAAAGGAAAGTGTGGTAGTTGCAGAGGATCGGCATGAGTACTGGTATTGTTGATTTGATCTGGAGGAATGACCAACGGATGGGAACTTTGATAATTACTTACCACCGTGGCATCGCACCGAGAAAGCAAAAACAACAAACGTTCATCAATGAGCAGAAAACCAGAGCGATCCAGGATCTGGATCTGGTGGGATCACAGCCAGAGGATGCACAAGGCAATCAATGGCATGCAACAAAAGGAGCAAAGCAGACCAAAAGTACGGTGGACCAGCTGAAGCTTTGTCTGGAAGACAGTTCAGAGCATGGTCAATGCGATGTACACCAGGTGGAGCAGGTGGCAAAGCATCAAAAAAGGTACGATCCAGAGCACGACATGTCAGAAAGTGATCTCGGGAGATAAACTCACCGGTAGTGCACGGACATTCTTCACGCATATTGGTGAAACGTCCAAGACGCCACCGCACAAGACGACTACGAGCAGATCGACCAATAGGCAGATACAGGATGGGATCTGGACGAGAGACAGACGGACGACAAGCACGAAGGAGAGTCTGAGCACCAGAAACAGCAGCAGCAGCAAGTTGACGATCTACTTGATCTTGCCAATACGAATCAAAGACTTCAGTAAGACCAGCAGTGGTGAATGGCGGCGGATCAGGCAGTGTTAGATACAACGGGTTTTGACAGATAAATCTGTCTAGACGAGTGTACAGTAAACCACGACGAAGCAGAACCAACAAGCAATCATCAGGGAGAGTATCAGCACGAAGGGCATAACGTGTTGTCAGAACGTTATATCGATGCTTCATGCTGGGAAGACAGGTCAAATGTTTGGCAACATTGTACCATGTACTACCAACAAACATACCAACCAATCGATTTTGCAGAGCATCAAGAGCCTTGAAGTCACGGAAAGAGAGATGAGATATAGCTAAGCCGTATTCCAGTTTGGGACGAATAAAGCTTTTATACAAACGAGCACAAAGCAACAGAGAAAAACCATTTCGATTGACACCAACCGAATTTAACAATGCCATTGTCTTGATAGCACCAGAAGCACGCAGATTGAGAATCCCAGGGGCATACAGACCTTTATATCTAAACGGCATACCAAGATACGTGAATTCCTCTACCACAGGAAGAGGTTCACCGTATAGAGACAATGGATGACGAGTAGAGGCAGTAGGAGCACAAAGTACAGCACATTTTGATGGTTTCCACCTGTAGCCAAGAGAGAACGAGTGATCTGAAGCGATATCCAACATGGTTTGCACATCAGTACGAGAGCCAAATATGGCCACATCATCAGCAAAGAGCAGGCTATTCACGCAAACACTAGGCATCCCAGGTGGTGATACCATAGTACCGCGACTGACAGCAGAACGAAGAAGAGCAGGCAGAGAGTTGATGTACAGAGAGTACAAGTGAGGGCTGAGCACTGAACCCTGCAATACGCCAGTAGCAGGCGAAAAGGGAACAGAGGTGTGATTTGCAATCAACACAGACACGAGTACATCATCGAACATGTGGATGAGCAAACTGAGAACTGAACGAGGCAGAGAAGAACGAGAGAGAGCATCCCAAATCACTCGACGATCCACGGTATCATACGCTGATTTGATGTCCAGGAAAGCAACCACAGGATAGTGGTGATGGGTGAGGAAGTAGTCGTGCATCAAGTCATGTAAACAGAGGGCTTAATCCAGAGGACTACGCTGTGGGCGAAAACCACCTTGAGCTACATCAAGTGCAGGCGAATGTTCATCGAGAGCAGGCATCAGAGAGAATTCGAACAATTTACGCATCACCGAAGTAAGCGAAATTGGACGAAAGTTTGCAGGATCAGATACATCACCTTTCTTGTAAATGGGAAAGACTTGAGCATGTCGCCATAGGGCTGGTGTATACGACCACTGAGAGCAGAGTGTAAAGAGCAGAGACAATACGGGTGCAATGTCAGATGCTAGAGCCTTCAGCATTTCAGCTTTCAAATGATCAGGACCAGGAGCTTTCCCATTTGGCAAACGCTTAATGAGGGAGACAAGTGTATCAGCATCAAATAGACCCAAATCAGCGGTGGACACATCATAAGGCAAATCAGAGAAATTGGACGGAGCAGCAAGGCGAGACGCATTATTCAACAGGGAGCCATCATAGACAGAGGCAAGATGGGACGCCATTGTGTTGACAGAGGCAGTTGGACCGTCTGGATGACTGTACGTTGCAGAGCATTCCTTGTTTCTTTTAATGCGCTTGATTGCAGCAGTAGCTTTCGAAAAATCCTTTTCCAAATCAGAGCAAAACTGATTCCACGATCGACGCTTAGCAGCTTGTACAAGAGAACGAAAACGCCTGTGAGCAGCTTGATAGAGATTCCATGTTTCGACTTTGGCAAAACGACTTGCCCACCTCCATCTACTATACATAGTATCTCTTTCACGAGCAGCATCCTCAATTTCCTGTGTCCAGTACTTTTTCCAGTGGCCAGGACGACCAGATTTCACACCAATTGAGCTATCCAGAGATTCATACAAACATTGATTCAAAGAATCGTTGATTGCATCAATATCTGGACAAACACCAGGGGGAGCAGACACCAAACCAGAGAGAGAACCAACCAAAGGAGCAACAGAAGTTCGAAAGGATTCACGAAGCAAGCCCAAAGGCCGCTTTTTCCTCAATTTCGAGAGCTTCCATTGCCGTCTAGGGGCCAAACCACCAGAGCTACCAGAACCAAGAGTATCATCGGGAGGGGGCACATACTCGAAAGTAAGTACCATCAGCCGATGATCAGAGCCAAGAGACAGATCAGATTCAACCACCAGTTGAGGATGTAACAGAGCAGCCTCGCCAATGTTTGTAAGAAACAGATCAATGATGCTATGAACCTCTTGTTGACGTCGAAAAGTTGTGAATGTGGGTGTACCAAATGCTAAAGACTCATTGAGAATGGAAAAAGAGGACTCCTCCAGCCATGGCAGTAGTGAGGTACCACGAGGATTAGCATTAGTATCACCCAGTAGAGATCCAAAGCGAGCATTGAAATCACCACAAAGGATGGTATCACTGGTTACGGGTAACGAGCGAAGAAGCGAGAGCACCTTATCCGAGGATAAGGGTGGAGGCAGATACACACAATGAACCGTAAGGGTGCCAACCTTAAGGGACAAAGTGTGTGCATTGTAAGATGGAAGTTGAGAGACAGAGAAAGGACAGGAAGGAGAGACAAAGGCAGTAATGCCACCAGAACCACGGTTAAATGCACCAGGTACTTTAGAGCCATAGAGGTGGAATTGAGACCAGTTAGTAGGGAAAGAACCAGAGGTTAGCCAGGTTTCAGTGACAAGCAGTACATGAGTGTTCTGAACATGATGGAGAACATCATGTACCGTTGATTGACGTAGACCATTGGCATTCCAAAGGGAGAGAGAGACTTGAAAGGAGTGGACTGGGTTGTTATTGGGAGTATGACTAGTAGCTATGTTACTCATTAGAGTTCCATAGCAGAGCCATTGCTGTCATGATCGTCCTTTTGACGCTTGAATAAGAATTTAGCCTTTTTGGGCTCCTTCTCGGCAAGACGACCGATAGCTTCAGAGACGGCTATATCTAGCTCTTCTTGAGAGATCCAGCCAGCAGAGACAAAGTATTTGCCAACGCCACTAACGTTGAGTGGACGAAGGAAAGAGAGGGTTTGCAGAGCACGGGTGTTGGTGAATTCATAGATCAATTGCTCACGCTCTTCAATGGCAAGATCAGCATATTTGGGATCAGCAATGTTGTTGGGATCCAAGGGTTGAAAGTTTTCAATGTGATCAGCTTCACATTTGCGCATACAGGCGAGAAACTCCTCTACATATTGGATGTGGAGCAAGATGCCAATGACGCCAGTGGCAGGGAAACAGATGTCTAACACACGGCCAGTATCAATACCAGCTCGGCGAAGTTGGTAACGAACCTCAGAGCGCAGGATTTTACCAGAGCGGCCTAGATACACATACTGGTATCCTTGTTGACCTTTGGTGGTGGCGGTTTGGAACATACGACCTGCAGCAAGACGTCGCTTGGTAGTACGGGCAGGGTCACGATGTTGGGCACCTTTACGGGCAGCAGATGCGTAGCTACCTTGAGTAGCATCGGGTTGGTGAATAGTAACAAGCTCTTGGGTTGGTGTTACCTGAGAGCTGGATTGAGCACCTTGATTGGTGCGGCGGGATGAGAGTTGGCCCTGTAATTTTTCAATTGCAAGGTCCTTGGCCTGTAACTGATTTTTCAATTCTCCATTTTCCTTTTCCAAAAGGTCCAGGCGAGCAAGGAGATTGTCATGTTGCTGTACTCGCTCGGTGAGAGAGACCAGTTGTTGCTGTTGTTGTTGAACAGTTTGGATGAGCTGATTCAAATCCATAGATTGCTGATTATTGTTGAGCATGGCTGAAAATATTCTATCAAACTGTGGAGATTCAATAAAATATGAAAAAGATGTCCAACAAACTGGAAGTTATAACACAATGTACGTTGACTAAATGCAAGTAAACTGGTACAACTGAAGGCTAGTTGGAGTGTTTGTTGTCGAGATAAACCGCTTTTATAGTGAGGAAATACTTTTTACCGGGGGAAGGTGGCAAAAAGTGATGAAAAACGGAAAGAGATGGGGATGTAGCTCAGGCGAAAATTTATGGTTGTTTATTGATTACAATGAATTAGCAATGTAAAAAATATAGACTTATATGCATGCGATCTTTGGATCATTAGTTGCAAGTCCTGAGAAGCGACGTACAGCAAAAAAGCTTAAATTGATAGTTTGATCTCCATGCAGGAACAACATGCAAGTGTCCAGAAAAGGGAAAAAAGGTCCTAAACTAAAAATTAAACTGGTAAAAAAGAAGTACAGGCAGGAAAAAGGAGTAAAACAAGTGAGATAAAAGGGTAGAGAATAAGAAGCTATGGTGTATGAGACATGCAATTGAGGATACCTCGATGTTCAGACAGCAGCACAGACAAAATAAACCCACAGACCTCAGTGGCACAAAAAAAGCAAGAAAAAAAGGAGAAAACGAGGCATTTGCATATAGCAAAATGAGTAGAGAGACAAAGACCAAACGAGAAAGAAGCAGAGAAGGAGGACAAAGTAAATACAGACACTACCATAAAGGCAGCAGAAACAGAAACAATGAGAGTGGGAATGAGAGAGCAAAACGATTTCAACACCAAGGTGTCAATCAGTTATCAAAAGGCTCTGACATTTCAAGATCCTTGGTAGCAGAGAGAGTGGGGGAGACAGCATAAGCCAAAAGAGAGGCAGTTTCAGCATCATGATGCAAGAGGTAGCCAAGATAACTCAAACGTTGTTTCTTGGCTAAACGCTCTTGATCAGAGGATCGGGATGGTGGTTTAGCAGCAGCAGAGGAGGAGGAACGAGCAAGCATTTCTTCTTTCAAAATGGCATCAAATTGGGCTTGGTTGATGCGATCATACAAAAGAAAAGAACGAGCAACAGAAATACGGACAGAGCGACGGACAAAAGACAGCGAACGAAGGCAGCGAAGGTTTTCGACCTCAATGGCCTTTTGGACACGCAGATCACGAGAGAGAGAAGCAAATTTGGGATCTTTGAGATTGACTGGATCACATGGATCAAAGTCAATCAACGGAGAGCAGCCACGACCATGTAGATGCATGGCTTTGGTGAGGGTGAGTACATAGTCATTATGAACAAGGAAAGAAATCACATTCTGTACAGGATATTGAATATCCAGCACACGAGAGTTATTCAATCCTACGCCTTGAACAAGGCGACGCAGCTCAGAAAGACGACGGCGGACAGGAGTAGCATAGTACACAAATTGATAACCAGATGGTATATCACTTTGAGGAGCAAAAAGACGAGCAAGAGTAGCGGATGCCTTGGTGGCAGATGGAGGAGGAGGACGAGCAGCAGGCTTCTTCTTACGCTTTGCACCTGTATTAGATGCAACGACGGCAGCAAAAGATGGTTGATTTCCTGGAGACGAAGAGGTGGCAGAGGTAGCATTGGTGCATGTAGTTGATGCTGGTGCTGTTGTGGTGGTAGTAGTGGCAGGAGGTGGGTGGGATGATGATGGTTTGGGAGCCAGGCTAGTTTGTAGTACCAGTAGCAGCTGCAAGTTGGGCTTCGAGAGCGTGACGATCAGCTTCAGACTCTGCCAGGGCTGTTTTTAACCGCTCAATTTCGACATGGGCGGTTTCCAGACGAGCTAAGCGATTTCGAACCTCAATCATAAAGGTTGAAAGTTGCTGTTCACTCGCTGGAGAGGCAGATGGAGGAGTTGTTGTTCCAAAATCAGTTGAGATGTTGATGATATCAACTGATGTTTGTGGATGATGGTGCTGAGAGGTTGGAGAGAGTGTCATTTTCTTTGTTTTCAACTGTTGAGTGAAATCTACAGCGAAAAAAGGTGGAGATCTTGAGGAACTTGGCCGTTTTTGACCTGGAGAAAGAGAGGACGCAGAGCTTAATGCCTGGTTTACTTTGGTGTCGTCTGGAATGGTGTTCTGGCTATGTATTGTATGGATTTGTAGAGTTGGAGCAATTTTTTTAATATTACTGGGCTTCAATGTATTAAAAAAATTGGTTAGCGGAAAGAAAGGTGGGGATGTAGCTCAGGCGAAAATTTATGGTTGTTTATTGATTACAATGAATTAGCAATGTAAAAAATATAGACTTATATGCATGCGATCTTTGGATCATTAGTTGCAAGTCCTGAGAAGCGACGTACAGCAAAAAAGCTTAAATTGATAGTTTGATCTCCATGCAGGAACAACATGCAAGTGTCCAGAAAAGGGAAAAAAGGTCCTAAACTAAAAATTAAACTGGTAAAAAAGAAGTACAGGCAGGAAAAAGGAGTAAAACAAGTGAGATAAAAGGGTAGAGAATAAGAAGCTATGGTGTATGAGACATGCAATTGAGGATACCTCGATGTTCAGACAGCAGCACAGACAAAATAAACCCACAGACCTCAGTGGCACAAAAAAAGCAAGAAAAAAAGGAGAAAACGAGGCATTTGCATATAGCAAAATGAGTAGAGAGACAAAGACCAAACGAGAAAGAAGCAGAGAAGGAGGACAAAGTAAATACAGACACTACCATAAAGGCAGCAGAAACAGAAACAATGAGAGTGGGAATGAGAGAGCAAAACGATTTCAACACCAAGGTGTCAATCAGTTATCAGAAGGCTCTGACATTTCAAGATCCTTGGTAGCAGAGAGAGTGGGGGAGACAGCATAGGCCAAGAGAGAGGCAGTTTCAACATCATGATGCAAGAGGTAGCCAAGATAACTCAAACGTTGTTTCTTGGCTAAACGCTCTTGATCAGAGGATCGGGATGGTGGTTTAGCAGCAGCAGAGGAGGAGGAACGAGCAAGCATTTCTTCTTTCAAATGGCATCAAATTGGGCTTGGTTGATGCGATCCATACAAAAGAAAAGAACGAGCAACAGAAACACGGACAGAGCGACGGACAAAAGACAGCGAACGAAGGCAGCGAAGGTTTTCGACCTCAATGGCCTTTTGGACACGCAGATCAGGAGAGAGAGAAGGCAAATTTGGGATCTTTGAGATTGACTGGATCACATGGATCAAAGTCAATCAACGGAGAAGAGCCACGACCATGGAGATGCATGGCTTTGGTGAGGGTGAGAACATAGTCGTTGTGAACAAGGAAAAGAAATCACATTCTGTACAGGATATTGAATATCCAGCACACGAGAGTTATTCAATCCTACGCCTTGTACAAGGGCGACGCAGCTCAGAAAGACGACGGCGGACAGGAGTAGCATAGTACACAAATTGATAACCAGATGGTATATCACTTTGAGGAGCAAAAAGACGAGCAAGAGTAGCGGATGCCTTGGTGGCAGATGGAGGAGGAGGACGAGCAGCAGGGCTTCTTCTTACGCTTTGCACCTGTATTAGATGCAACGACGGCAGCAAAAGATGGTTGATTTCCTGGAAACGAAGAGGTGGCAGAGGTAGCATTGGTGCATGTAGTTGATGCTGGTGCTGTTGTGGTGGTAGTAGTGGCAGGAGGTGGGTGGGATGATGATGGTTTGGGAGCCAGGCTAGTTGTAGTACAGTAGCCAGCTGCAAGTTGGGCTTCGAGAGCGTGACGAGCAGCTTCAGACTCTGCCAGGCTGTTTTTAACCGCTCAATTTCGACATGGGCGGTTTCCAGACGAGCTAAGCGATTTCGAACCTCAATCATAAAGGTTGAAAGTTGCTTGTTCACTCGCTGGAGAGCAGATGGAGGAGTTGTTGTTCCAAAATCAGTTGAAATGTGATGATATCAACTGATGTTTGTGGATGATGGTGCTGAGAGGTTGGAGAGAGTGTCATTTTCTTTTGTTTTCAACTGTTGAGTGAAATCTACAGCGAAAAAAGGTGGAGATCTTGAGAACTTGGGGCCGTTTTTGACCTGGAGAAAGAGAGGACGCAGAGCTTAATGCCTGGTTTACTTTGGTTCGTCTGGAATGGTGTTCCGGCTATGTATTGTATGGATTTGTAGAGTTGGAGCATTTTTTTAATATTACTGGCTTCAATGATTAAAAAAAATGGTTAGCGGGATGTAGCTCAGTTTAATATTGGTTTTTATTTATTTACAAATGTAGTCACTGCGGAATCGGTATGATCATATGTTGCAAAGACTAACAGTGATTCGCGGAAAAAAGCATGTTTAAATTAAAGGTTGAGGGAGCTGCTAAAAGGGAGGGGACCAGTAAAAGTAAACGGCATCAAAACCCACCAGAGAGGAGGAGAAACAGAGGGAGGAATAGCAATGGCCGCGCCGCAAGACGGGGGAGACGAACAGGACTCAAGGTAGAAACCGGCCAGACGCACCGCAGCACACCTAAACGTGCAAGCACAAATACCGAGTAACATGCCAGGTTAGAAAGGCGGAAAATATGGATGCGAAGGTGGGATTCGAACCCACGACCTCTCGGCATACTCACTGCTTCCGCATGAAGCTCTAACCAAGTGAGCCATTCAAGCATCCATGGGGATGTAGCTCAAATGGTAGAGCGCTCGCTTAGCATGCGAGAGGCACTGGGATCGACGCCCAGCTTCTCCACATTTTTTTTAATTTTTTTATAGAAACCAAAGCTACACTCTATAACGATATAGTGTTGATAATTTTTTTTTTTGTTTTTATTGATTACTATTACAAATCGATTTTGGTTTTGTAACTGAATCTCTCTTTTTTTTGTTGTAAATTGCCTACACTATCGTATAAACTACGTTTCACTGCTTACTATATTGGATTCTACTTCTGTTACTACAAATTGACATTAAACTCTTAAATGTTTCTTATATTCGAATATACTCTGGATCCTATTTCAAGAATGACAAATCAGTTACTACTCAGCCTCGTATCATTTTGACAGATATATTCAAACTCTTAAACATCTCTCTTTCCTAATGGAAGCACACAAATGGGAAGCAACTCCACATTACCCATCCTTTCATCCTCTAGTAACATTATCAATATCATCATTCACCATCTTTTAACAACAGATATAGCTTTCCAGCTATAAAAACTGTTCAAGCTTTTAGGATTATTAAGGGTATCAAAACCAATTATAGAAGGGTCAGCCCTTCATTACAAATTATAGCATATAGAAACAGAATTCAGGACACATAATTCATAAAATCAATTTAATATAAATATTCAATTGATATCAAACAATAAAAGATCATCTTATTCCTACTTGAAAATTATATCTATATAGCTCTATAGCTCCTTGACTTTGTTATTTCATTGAACTTATTAAATATAAGATCCCTTTGAATCCTTTGTATACATTAACGCATTGATTCATTGTACTTTATTGGTGAATTCGTAATAATAAGTCGATGATAATAATCAGTTGTCAACTGTATCTAAAACGAAAGCAAAGAGCTTCTTTATTACAGGGCATCTAGCTTGCTTAAATATGGTAGATCCCTGGTCAATGACTACTACGTTGAGATGGTATATAAATAGCAGGCCACTGGGGCCTTATGGATTGTTGGTATAGCTTGTTGAGAGGCCACCTAAGTCGATATGTTTCATGTAGTGTAGGTGGATCTCGATATCTTGACATTGGGGAGATTGAATGTATTGTAGTTCCTGAGGCACCTGTGCACACACAATTGACTGGACTTGTAAACATAGATGTGATGTAATACGATAAACATCATCTATGCTGCTACACTGTAAAAGGTGGCTTGAGGAGAAAGTGAATGTAGCCTAAGATGCATGCCTGTATGCAACATTTATCTACTATTATCACTTTATTTACACATCTCTTTGTTTGCTTTTATATTCTTACTACTGTAGGGGGAAAAACTGTCCGTTCGTTCAAATAATCTTGACTTTTACCCAGTATATTGCCAAAACTCAGAAAACAAAGCTACCCCATACTGCGTTCGATAGAACAGCTTATAGGAATCACAGCAACATAAGAACCTTATGGCTGGACTATATTTTAATCCCAGTATAACCAGCTAAAGTGAGACGCGGCAAAAATGTTAGGTGGGTAATTCTAGATGATATAAAATGGTTGATATCTTTACTTCCAATAAACGTATCGAAGAAATCTAAAAAACTACCCGCGGTATGCTCAGGGTATTTAATATCCCAGGAGCATTCCAAAAGTATAAAAGAAGCTAGTTTTTTCATATTTTTTCTTTATTTCTTTGCTTTCTTATTTTTTTTTTTCAAAACTTTCATTATGCTTGCTCGTTTAACACAAAATTTACGCAACATTCTCCAATCTTTGCTCCAACGTGGTCGTTCGTTCTCAAAGATAAAAAAATTGTATCCAGGAGTGGGTAACTCTACTCTTACAAGGCTCAGAAAACTATATTGCCCTGACCCAGCTAGACCTCTTGGCGGAAGACCGAAAAAACTTGGTGCTAAAACTATGTCCCTAGTGTCAAGAGGACTTCGATCAGGTGCTTTAGATAATTCCCGAGCAGCACAAGAAAGTTTAAGATTGATGGGCCATGATATGTCAATTAATGGCATCCGCAAGTCATTGAGACGAAATGGACTTAAATCTCGTAGAAAAGTAAAGACCAATTTGTTTAGCAAGACAAACAAGCGACTTCGATTGGCGTGGGCTAAAAAGCATAGGCATCTTACTATTGCTGATTGGCGTCGTTGGGTGTTTTCGGATGAAAC